CTCTCTCTCTCTCTCTCTCTCTCTCTTTTTTTCTCTCTCTCTCCCTCTCCCTCTCTCTCTCTGTCTCTGTACCCCTCCCCCTCTCTCTCTCCCCCATCTCTCACCCTCTCCATATTTTCCTCTTATACTCTCCCTCCCTCCGTACCCCGTCTCCCCCTCTGTCGCTCACTCACTCAGACACACATGGGATTTCTTGGCCCCATTGTATTATTTTGACGGCTGGAAGGGGATGCTGGCGGCCCGGGCCGCGTGCCGTGACAGGCCGCCGGCGCGTGTATTGTGACGCGTCAACGAGCCCGCCCGCGGAAGTAGACATGTGCGCGACACACTAAACCTGCGCTCGCTCGCTCACTCACTCTCTCCACTAAGTCAACTCACTCCACTCAACTTACTCAACTCTCCCACTTACCTCATCTTACCCCTACTTACCCAACTTTTACCCGACTCACCCAACTCACTCAACTCACTCACTCACTCACTCACTCATTCACTCACTCACTCACTCACTCACTCACTCACTCACTCACTCACTCACTCACTCACTCACTCACTCACTCACTCCTGTTCTCTGTCCGGCAGGTCGCATCGCGCCCAGCAGAGGCAAGGCTGCGCCCGCCAACCCGCTGGACCGCATCTACCGCGAGATCGCCATCCTCAAGAAACTGGACCACCCCAACGTGGTGAAGCTGGTGGAGGTGCTGGACGACCCCGAGGAGGACCACCTGTACCTGGGTAAGCGGGGCGCTCACGCGCAGCAGGGCGGGGCGAGCGCCCGCGCAGCAGCGGATACCGCGCCGCAGCGCCGGGCTGTCGGGCGGGCTTGCCTACCCCGCCCTCGTCAGGCGCTCGAGGCACCCATCCGATCCGCCCGCCCGGCCCCTGCGCTGTGTGCCGAGTAGGGATTTTAATTTTACATGCAAGTCTTTTTGAGGAATCTTTAAAAATAAATTGGTCTCAGCGTCAAAAGTTTGTTTTCTAAAAAGTTTTACTTTTTTTAAGTTTTTCTGGAAATGTTTGATTATTTTTTTTCAATATTTTCCTGGAGAAGTTTCCTATTATTCTGGGAAAAAATCGACTTTAAAATCCCTAGTCCCGCGTGTCCATACGTAAATTTCCTTTATTGTTATACGACTTGACCCCCGCGCACTTTACAAGTAGTTTGAATCAACGTCGGCGCGACTTTGCAATTGATTTAAACTAACCAGGGGGCGGGGGGCGTGCTCGCACTCCGTGCTCGATGTCGTGTCGCGAGGAAGTAGTTGGAAAGATGGTATCGCGGTGCATGCCGCGGTGCATTAGGTGGCCACAACTTACACAGTCAATAACGACTTTGTGTGACCTTCTATACTCTGCTCTTGTTTGCCGCCGCTATCACTGTTGGAGTTGTTGTTTTATTCCCCCGCCTCCCTCCCCTTTAGCCCGTGTTTTAATACATACTTGTGTGTAAATGATGACGTTTGATATCAAAAATGTGTATTCATTCCTTTTTTTTTCTTTTGCAGTATTTGAGCTGCTGGAGCGTGG